CCACACACACACACTAGCAATCAAAAATGGACACAAACAAATACAATGAAGCTGGAGAGATGACTCAAGAGTCAAGAGCTCTTGCTGCTCCAGCACAAGGACCAGGGTTCACACCCCAGCACCCACATGAAAACCAGGTACTATCCCTGTCATGCATGTAACTTCAGCAGTAAGTGGGGTGGGAGGGGAGACAGGAGGTCAGTGGGGCTTGCTGACTTCCAGGCTAGCCAGAGGGGGGGGGGAGTGAGCTCCAGGGTCAATGAGAGACCTTGCCTTAAAGGACACTCAGCTCCCTGCTGTGGCCTCCATGAATGCATGGGGGGTAAGTACCCCTTACCACACATCAAAAACACACCAAAACACACAAGGTACATAGCTCTTGAGGAACAAAATCTAAAACTAGCCCTGACTTCTATGCACAAGTGCAAACATGAATATATGGGTACACACACACACACACACACACAAATATATGTGAACACACACACACATTTAAAAACTTTAAAAAGAGGTCCTTTGCCTCTGGGTTTATTTCCCAGCACACATGGCAGCTCACAACCATCTGTAACTCCAGTCCCAAGGGATCTTTTTCTGACCTCCATGGGCATTGCATGCACTTGGTACGAGGGTACACATTCAAGTTCATAAAATTCAGGCAAGCATTCAAGCATATAAAATAAAAAATAAATAAAATCTAAAAAGAAATGTTTTTAAGATTTAAAAAAAAATCAAAACAGGAAGTCCTTTGGCCAGAACTAATCTTAGTGTGTTCCTGCCTAAAATGCTTACCCACAATTTCTTTTCCCTCCACAGGAACTTCCCAAGCCTTTACTACCGTTTGCACTTCAAAATCCCACGGACAAACGTAACTGTGGCCATCTTCATGCTGGACACGGTGACACTGTGTGGCAACTCTGATGACTTCAGCAGTCAGCAGCCCAAAATGCCCCGCGACCTGGGAGTGGCCCGCAGTCAACTGTCCTGGCTCAAAAAGCAGTTGGCAGCAGCCAAGGAGGACTATGTTTTGGTGGCTGGCCACTACCCCATCTGGTCCATTGCTGAACACGGACCCACCCGCTGCCTGGTCAAGCACCTGCGGCCATTGTTGGCCACATACGGGGTCACTGCCTACCTGTGTGGACATGACCACAACTTGCAGGTGAGAGCTCTGTGGACAGGATAGGGAATCTGGTAAGGTGTTCTTACTGTACTGCAAGGTGCTGCAGGGCCGGACTCCTGCTGTTCAGGGGACCTCTGGTATCTTTCAGAGCATCAATACCCTCCCTTAAATTATGATGTCAAGGGGGTATGGCTCAAAGGCAGAGTGCTGGACTAGAATCTTCCAGGGAGGGGCTGGGGAGTGGCTCAGTGGTAGAGCCCCTGCATAGAATCCCCCAGTGAGGGGCTGGGGTGTGGCTCAGTGGTAGAATGCTTGCCTACCAAGCAGGAAACCATGGGTTTTATCCTCAACACTGCCAGGAAACACACATACACACACACACGCACACACACACACACACACACACACACACACCTCTCCTTAAATGCCAGAGTAACTCCCCGTGTGCCTGTGCAGTAGGATTGATGCATTCCTGCAGATGGGGAAACTGAAACAAAGAGGTTATCCACCTCTTGCTCAAGATAGCTCTGTGGTCTGGAATAGCCCTATTCCCACACTTAGGATAGGTCTCGGTGAAGCCCCTGGTCATCCCCTAACCGGGCTGGAGTGACCAACCTTGCATCCTATGCCCTCAGTATCTTCAGGATGAAAATGGAGTGGGCTACGTGCTGAGTGGGGCCGGCAACTTCATGGACCCCTCTGTGCGACACCAACGCAAGGTCCCCAACAACTACCTGCGCTTTCACTATGGGTCTGAGGACTCCCTGGGTGGCTTCACGTATGTGGAAATAAGCCCCAAAGAAATGACCATCACCTACGTGGAGGCTGCTGGAAAATCACTCTTCAAGACCAGCCTGCCCAGGCGGCGCAGACTCTGAGCACCATAGGGTTCCGCTTGTCCCTTGCCAGCTCTGAGGCAGGAAGCCTCCGCATGCATGGCTGGCGGGTGGGTGCTGTGAGGACCTCCCCCACCGGCAGCCTTTTCTCTGGCCCCTGGTGCTCTGGCAGAGTGGGAAGTAAAACCACAGAGGCTTACATACATGGAAGAAGTGTGTGTTCACCGACTCACCCCACCCCAAAACCAGGCTCACCCCTGATGTTTTGGGTTTCTTCTAAGACAAGCATCTTATTGTCACTGCTATTCAATAAAAGAATAGTTGTCGAGGCCGCACTTGTCTCCAAATGGATGCGTCATCTGGGTTACTATGCGTGTGGATGCAGTCTCGGTGAACGCAGCCCGCCGTGCAACGTGCATGTGGGAGTCCGTTCTCTCCTACCGCCATGCGGGTCCCAAGGATCAAACAAGCTCCTAGGTTTGATGGCGAGTGGCCCTACCTGCTAAACTGTCTCTGGCCTTTCCTTCCATCTCTTAGTCCCATGCATAACCACCTAGCTTTATGCATGGACATTAACCTTCCTTCCCCAGCTATGACACTGGAATCCAGGGCCTCCTCCATACTATTTGGGCTTTACCCCCAAGCTACATTCTTAACCCTTGTTTTTGTTTTGTTTTTTGAAGCCAGGTCTCGAGTAGCACAGGCTAACCTTGAACTCCAGGTCGTCCTGTCTCTGTCCCCCAGTGGCCCCAGTGCTGAGATATCAGGCATCTGCCATCATGCCTGGTTGTGGACATGATCTTAAGTAAACCTCAAGATGTGGAGGTTGAGCTTGTGGTCCCAGGTACACAGGAGAGGGAATCAGGAGAACCACTTGGGTCTAGAACTTCCAGGCCAGCCTGGCAGCATAGCAAGGTCCCACTGAAAATGAACAGCCATCTTGCTAATTCCAGCATTCAGGAGGCAGAAACAGACTTTTCTCCTTGAGTTCTGGGTCACTCTGCTCTACATAGCAAGTTCCAGGCCAGGCTGTGCTACCTGGTGAGACCCCGTCTCAAAAAATAAATAAATGATACACAGAGAAGCCCTGTCTCAAAAACCATATCTATATGAATGGATGAATCAATCAACCAATTATTCGATCAGAAAAAAGAACACAGCAAGTCCCCAAGGTCCTTTCTATAGCTACCACCCTTCTGAGCGATTCTCCACAGCCCACCTGGAGCCAAGTACTACCCCTGTTTGTTGTTTGTCTGAGACAAGGTCGCTTACAGCCCTGGCTGGGTTCTGTCTTGCTTCAGCAAAATGACCTTGACCTCTGGATCCTCATGTGCTGGGGAAGGACTAGTGAAAGCTAGGCTAGCACTCCACCTACTAAATTACAACTCTAGTCCGGTATTTAATTTTGTTGTCTGTTTGTTTCAAGACAGGGTTTCTCTGTGTAGCCCTGGCTGCCCTGGAACTTGCTCTGAAGACCAGGCTGGCCTCAAACTCACAGATCCTCCTGCCTCTGTGTCCCGAGTGTATCACCACTGCCCAACTTTTTATTTTGTTTTTATTATTGTTAAATTTTATTTATTTTTATTATGTGTATATGTGTGTGCCTGCTTGTCTGTATGTGTGTCACATTCTTGCAAGTGTTTACAAAAGCCAGAAGAGGGTGTTGGGTCCCCTGGAACTGGGATTAAAGCAGTCAGGAAAGGAATTCAGGTCCTTTGCAAGAGCAGCAAGTCCTCTCCACCACTGAGCCAAAGCTCCAGTCCTGGCCCCTTTTGTGAGGAAGGAGCCAAGTAAAGTCCAGGCTGACCTTGAGCTCAAGTAGCCAGTGATGAGTCTGAGCCCCCGCTGTCCCACTTCCACCTCACAACGGGATGTGCTGCCACCTAAGGTCCCAAGTTTTAGGGGATTTTGAGGACTGAAGACTTTGTGTACACTAAGCATGTGATTCACCACAGAGCCTCGGGTTCTGTTTTTCCCCGGGTTGAAGACAGAATCCAAACTTTTGAACACACTGGACAAGTGGTCTTCCATTCAGACACACTCCAAACCCTCTCTTCCTTTGCTGTCTAGCCTCAATATTCCTTTTCTTCACAGCTCGGAGAGCACCAGGAGAACAAATCCCTACTCGGAGTACTTTCGCTTAATCACAGCTCCTCCAGCAGTTTGTCCCCAGCACTGACTTTGGACCATTTCAGTATGGAGCTGGGAATAATCACACATTCAAACATCTAAAGTTTACAGAAAAGTGAAGCAGAGTTTGGTGGTACACACTTATAATCCCAGCACACCGGAGGTCGAGACGCAACGATCAGAAACTCAAGGCCATTCTCTGATACTTAGTAAATTTGAGGTCAGCCTAGACTACATGAGACCCTGTCTTGGAACAGATATATGAGCCAGGAGCGGTGGCACTCAGTGGGTCTCTGTGAGTTTGAGGCCAGCTTGGTCTATATAGCAAGCTCCAGGAGAGCCAGGACTACATAGAAATCCCCTGCCTCAAATGAGTCAAAAATAAAAGCAGGGAAACCATATGGCTGGGGATATGGTGTTCAAAGCCCTGGTCGCATCTGAAGAACTACATAAAACCAGGCGGTGGGCGCACACATGTCTGTTGTCCTAGGGAAAAAACAAACAGGGTCCAGCTGGGTGCAAGTTCCTGCTCCAGGGGTGAGGAAATGGCTCAGTGACTGCTCTTCCAGAGGACCCGGGTCCAATCTCCAGCACCATACGACAGCACACAATTCCTTTTAACAACAGTTCGACTCTCTCTTATGGCAGCCACAGGCACCAGGCATGCAGGCACTACATGCAAATACATACAGATAAAACATCCATGAGCATAAAATAAACAGAAATCTGTAAAACTGCTTGTCACACAGCCTCGTAGTAACCTGAGTTCCATCCCCAGGCCCACGTGGCAGAAGAAGAGACCTGACTCCTGTAGACTGTCCTTTGACCTCCACACTCACCATGACACGCATGCCCCTCTACAAAAATAAATTAAGTAGAATAAATAAATTTTAAAGCAGAGTAAACTTGAAAGTAAAACAGAAAATTAAAAAACGAACTGTGCTCTCCAAGTCCACCCTTTCCTTCCCTCTAGCCTGACAGGAAACTGCTTCCCTTCCTGCTAATTTCCTGTCCATTCTGTTCCTCCCTCTGTCCCCTTCCTCCCTTCTCCCCCTCCCCTCCATAAAAAGAGGGTCTCACTGTCGGCGGTGGAGCCTAGCTAGGCCTCAGACTTCATACTCTTGCCCGGCCTCTCAAGCATCACAGTGTGTCACTGTTCCCAGTTTCTGTCGTATATTTTCTTATGAAAATCAAAGCAAACCGGAATATGTTTTTTCTTACCCACTGAGTCACACCCTGTTTTTTAACGTTCCTTTTCTTCAAAACTAATTTTTGAAGTGTAATTCACATACTTAATTCAAACCCATTAAATGTGCAGTTTTACAAGGCGCCCGCGTGCGTGCATGTTGAGGATCAAGCTAGGGCTTTGAGGACACTAAGTACCCACCCTATCCGGAGCCACACCCCTAGTCAGCTGGTCTGTTTTTTATTTAAGTTTCTTTATTTGCATTGTGGTTCTTGGTGCATTTGTAGCGTATCACCCTTCAAGATTTTGCTTCCTCCAAGAACTCAGATCACAGGCCTGTGCCAACCACACCTAGTTTATGAGCTACTGGGGATCAGATCAAACCCAGGATTTTGTGCAAGTACTTTACCAACTGATCTATACCAACCCCTCTGATAAGTTTTGGCAAAGTCATAAACCTACCACATGTAACATTGCAGGGAGGTATGGATCAGCAGTAGAAGTCCTGCCTAGAATCCCCAGTGAGGGGCTGGGGTGTGGCTCAGTGGTAGAGTCCCTGCCTAGAACCCCCCAGTGAGGGGCTGGGGTGTGGCTCAGTGGTAGAACCCTGCCCAGAATCCCCCAGTGAGGGACTGGGGTGTGGCTCAGTGGTAGAGCCCCTGCCTAGAATCCCCCAGTGAGGGGCTGGGGGTGTGTGAGGGTGTAGCTCAGTGGTAGAGACCCTGCCTAAGCATCTGTGAGTTCCTAAATTCCATCCCCAATACCAAACACACACAAAAGAGCCCAGCATATTCATCAGCCATAAAGGTTCCTTTTGAAACCGAAGGTCTGCACTTCTGTCTGGAGAGCTTCTTCTGAGTACAGAGACTGTCCCCTGATCCTTGGCTTCTAACCTTCCACTTATCAAGGATCTTCTGGGTGCCTTGCAATCCATTTTGCAATCTGCAGCCAGCACTGAAGTGCCTGCGCCTGTGTGTTCACATCCTCTGCGTTCAGACTTGTTTCTGGATAAACTGGATTTGCTCCCGGGAGCATCACTGTCATTTTAACTTCTTTTTGATGTCTCACCTACGCAGGCAAGAGCTCCGCCTGGGAACTACTCTCCCAGCTCACCTAGAATGAATACAGAGCCTGACCTGGGATGTACACCTTTTATGCCATTACTCAAGAGACAGAGGCAGGTGGATCTCTGTGAGTTCAAGCCCAGCTTGGTCTACTGAGTGTCAGGGCTATAGTGAGACCATGTCTCAAGAAGAACGAAAGGAAGGAAGGAAGGAAGGAAGGAAGGAAGGAAGGAAGGAAGGAAGGACAAGAGAGAGAGAGAGAGAGAGAGAGAGAGAGAGAGAAAAGAAAGAAAGAAAGAAAGAAAGGAAGGAAGGAAGGAAGGAAGGAAGGAAGGGAGAAAGAGAGAGAGAGAGAGAGAGAGAGAGAAAAGAAAGAAAGAAAGAAAGAAAGAAAGAAAGAAAGAAAGAAAGGAAGGAAGGAAGGAAGGAAGGAAGGAAGGAAGGAAGGAAGGAAAAGAGAAAGAGAGAGAGAGAGAGAGAGAGAGAGAGAGAGAGAGAGAGAGAGAAAAGAAAGAAAGAAAGAAAGAAAGAAAGAAAGAAAGAAAGAAAGAAAGGAAGGAAGGAAGAAAAAAAGAAGCAAGAGGCAGAGACAACGACAGAGAGGAAGAGAAGAGAAAGCCGGTCTTTCAGCGGGGAATTGAGTAACACTCGCCCGCAGACATATTTGCCTAAGCCACTGGCGTGAGGCAAGTCACAAAAACCACTCTCTTGGCAGTTTCAACTGTCACACCAGGGGTGACAGAGCAGGGATACTGGATTGTCTGCCCCCTGGCGGAATCAAGTGACAGCCCACAGCGTTTGATTGCTGTTTCCTCCACAAAGAGGAGGATGGAAGAAGAGCTACCTCCAGGCGCCACTTTATGTCCATACTGTTGAACTTGAGACAGAGCCCTGTTACTGTTGCAGCTGAGTAGGGGCTCTTGGGCTGGGAGAAAACTCATGGCGTAAAGG